GGGTCCCCCGTGCCCCGCGGTTCCTGTTGGCCCTCCCCACGCCTGACTGCTGGGGTCCCCTGTCCCTCGTGCCCCGCGGGGCGCATTGGTCCTCCCCACGCCTGACTGCTGGCGTCCCCTGTCCGCCGTGCCCCGCGGGGCGCATTGGTCCTCCCCACGCCTGACTGCTGGGGTCCCCCGTGCCCCGCGGCGCGCATTGGTCCTCCCCACGCCTGACTGCTGGCGTCCCCCGTGACCCGCGGTTCCTCTTGGTCCTCCCCACGCCTGACTGCTGGCGTCCCCTGTCCCCCGTGCCCCGCGGGGCGCATTGGTCTTCCCCACACCTGATGGTCGGGTCCCCTGTGCCGCGCGGTTCATATGGTTGTCCTCAAGCCTCACCACTTGGAGTCCCTGCGACCCAATGGTCTGGCATCACTATGGGGTCCGCATCCCAGCCCCCACCCGTGCTGGCTTGGGGGGCACTAAGGGATGAATGGCTTCAGAGATAGGCTCTTTCAAACCTCAGCACCCCCCCCTTTTAAAGATTTATTTCCGTATTCGGGGGAGGGGGAAGAGGCAGAGAATCTCCTGCAGACTCCCTCTGAGTGTGGAGGCCAACTGGGGGGCTGATCCCACCACCCTGAGATCATGACCTGAGCAGAAATCAAGAGTTGGACACTTAACCCACTAAGCCACCCAGGCGCCCCACTCACTCCCTTTTTTTTAAGCTCCAGATAAGCAGGGATCTTTTTTTCACTGCTAAGATGGATTGCCATATCTATATGCACATTGAGTTTTTTATTGTAAATATTCATAGTGTAAAACTTACCATTTTAACTATTTTCCAGTGTGTGGTTCTGTGGCATGAAGTCTGTTCCCGTTTGACAGCCATCACCACCATATAGCCACAGAAGCTTTATCTTAAACTGAAACTCAGAGCCATTAAACAGTAACTCCCAATTTCCCCTTCCCTTTATAAACATTTATTTTTTACCTTTAAAATGGCTGAGATTTCAGTCAAGTTGTGAGTATGCAGAAGGAATCCTGCCACCCCAGCCACCACCCAGTTCTCTTCCCAGAAGTTTTAGTTCTTTATCTTTCCATCGAAGTTTATGCATGATACATGCAAAGACCTTCTTTCCCACCCAGCTTTTCCCATTTAGCTACTTCTTGGAGATCATCTGGTTCTATTGTCTACATGTGCCTTAATCTTCCCAACTCGCCTCCTGTTGGTGCGCAATTAGGCGGTTACCAATTTTTTTTATATGGTATAAGCTGCTTTTTATGTAGCGCATTTTGTTTAAGTGTTAGTATTCCTTAGGAGAAATTTCAGGAATTGGAATCACCAGGCCCAGTAGAACGTGTCAGGTAATTTTGATAGCTGTTGGCAAGTTCCTAGAAGGAGGTTGAATCAGTTGTTGAAGCCTGGCCACCAAAGTGTGGAGGTAATGTGCGCCTTCTCCAGCACACAGCTCTTCAGTCTGATGGTGAAAATAGTATCTCGCTGTTGTTTACATTTGCATTTCAGATGGTTATTATTTTAAGTTGTTCTTGCGATCGTGTTTGTTTCATGCAAAGCCGCTAAAACTTGTTTTGAAAGGTTGATGATAGGTGGCTCTGGGCAACAGTCAGGGTGTATTCTCTGAAGACAGGTCACCTGTGAGCCTCAGTAATTTATGTTCTGCCATGGTCGCGGTGGAAAGGACAGCACAGATCTTAACGAAGTTCTCCAAGTTCATGTGGTGAACCCAGCCCCCACTGTGATGGTGTCAGGAGGGGGGCCGGTGGGAGGCCGTGAGGTCAGGAGCGGGGAGCCTCAGGATGGGATTAGAGCCCTTACAGCAGAGGCCCCAGACCGCACACCCTTGCCCCTTCTGCCGCCGTCTGAACCGGGAAGTGGGTCCTCCCCAGATGCAGAATCCGCCAGGACCTTGGTCTTGGACTTGCAGCCCCTGGGACTGTGAGAAATCAGTGGAGGTTTATAAGTCCCTCAGTCTGTGGTATTTTTTGTTACAGCAGCCTGAACAGATTAGCATAATATTGTATATGCATGATTTTAAAACTCAGTTACCAGACCCCTTCCGTACTCACGTCCTCCAGGTTTTGGCTCACCAAAGGCAGCCACTATTTTTTTTTTTTTTTGAGATTTTTTTTTTTAATTTAATTTATTTTTAAAGATTTTATTTATTTATTTGACAGAGACACAGCGAGAGAGGGACCACAAGCAGGGGGAGTGGGAGAGGGAGAAGCAAGCTTCCCGCCGAGCAGGGAGCCCGATGTGGGGCTCGATCCCAGGACCCTGGGATCATGACCCGAGCTGAAGGCAGACGCTTAACGACTGAGCCACCCAGGCACCCCTATTTATTTTATTTTAGAGAGACAGTGAGCACTAGTGGGAGGGGCGGAGGGAGAGGGAGAAAGAATCTCGAGCAGACTCCACACTGAGCATGGAGCCTGAAGTGGGGCTCGATCCCATGACCCTTAGATAACCACTTGAGCTGAAGGCAGATGCTTAACTGACTGTACCACCCAGGCACTCCAAAGGCGGCCACTATTCAAATCTCTTATTTTCCTCCATATTTCTAAATAACCTGTTCATATTCTTTTTTTTTAATTTCTTTTATTCTTTTTTTCAGTTTTGGATAGCATCTTTTGATTACCACTGCGTAGAAAGATGGGGTTCTATTCTATCCCAACAACATCCCTTCCTCCCTGTCCTCCCCGTGTAGTCAAGTGGGTATTCCTTTGTTTTTGTTATTATGATTGTTTAAACCGTACTCTCTTCAGTCAAGTAGGCATAAATGTCTGACCACGTGCTCGTGGGCAAAGGCTCCCTTATTTAATGGAGAACCTTGAAGGAACAAGTTCCCTATAAGAGGGCTGGGCCTAGATCCCACACCAACACCTTCAGCCCAGGACCTACTCACATGTGTAAAATCAACTCCTCATAGGGCCTCTTGGGTAAATAAATACATTTATTTTCCTACTCTCAGCTTTTGGTTATATAGGTTGTGGCGTTAATGCCTCTTAGGTCACAGAGAGAATGATAAGCCAGAGGTCACATTATTCTGATTTTCTGTTTGTTCCATTCAAGTGTTTCAAAGGTGCGTGGAAAACAGGGAGTAAAGCTTGAAATTTCAAGGCTAAGTACCAAGAATGAAGAGCAGGGTGTACTCCTGTAAGCCTAAAGCATCTCCCATTATCCTCCTCAGATTTTTTTCTGTTTTAAAGCATTTTTTAAAAAATCGTGCTAAAATATACATAGCCTAGGGGCGCCTGGGTGGTATAGTCAGTTAAGCGTCTGACTCTTGGTTTCGGCTTGGGTTATGATCTCAGGGTTGTGAGACTGAGCCCCGTGTTGGGGTCTGTGCTCAGTGCCCAGTCTGCCTGGGATTCTCTGTCCCTGTCCCTCCCTGTGTGTACTCTCCCTCCACCCCCGTCTAAATAAATAAATAAATCTTCAAAAAAGTAAAATGTACATAGCCTAAAATTTACCATCTTAACCATTTTTTTATTAGCTCAGGGACGTTAAGCACACTCATTGTAATGCAAACACCACCACCGGTTCACAGAACTTTTCCGTCTTCTGCAACTGGAGCTCTGTCCCCATTAAACAAACTCCCCATCCTGTACCAAGCCCCTGGCACCCCCCTGTCTTTCTGTATGGATCTGACTCTCCTAGGGACCTCGTATGAGTGGGATCTTACAGTGCTTGTCCTATTGTGACTGGCTTTTCTCATTCAGCATAATGTCCCCCAGGCCCATCCATTTGCTATAGTAGGTGTCATGGCCTTTCCTAAGGCTGAGTGATTGTCCACTGCATGCATGGGCCGCATCGTGCTTTTCCACTGAGAGACACTTAGCTTGCTTCCACCTTTTGGCCGTTGTGAGTGATGCTGTGAACACAGGTATACCAATATCTGTTCAGGTCCCTGCTCTTAGTTCTTTTGGGCAGATACTCAGAGATGGACTTGCTGGATCATATGGTAATTCTCTTGTTGGTTT